GATTAGCTGCATAATAATTTTCCCTGGGCCGAAGCTGGTAACCTTGAGCATACACAGAGTCACATACCAGGGTGTCACACTCGGTGCAATTCCGGTACTCTGACTTCATTCTTTTGGCTACATCAGTTGCTGGAACTCCTTCTGAAGGAAGATATGCCCGGCAATAAGGACAGGTCCACTTATTGTTCTTCAAACTGGTAGCAATACAGGAACGGCAGAATCTACCCGAACAAACCAAGAATACATCACTTTCCTAAAAAGGTACAAAGGAGCCACCACTATGTGTTTGTTTTTATAAATTGTATTTTAATGATATCTTGTACACTATGAGCCGTACTACCAAATTAAAGGTCCACTTGCAACATACACTTCCCAGAGATGATCTTACATTGCCAGTAAGACTGCTTTGGGATCACACATTCTCACCACACGCACTACATGCATTTAAACAAAACTAAGAATACAGACAAAGTGGGGAAAATAGCATTCCTATAAACAGATTTAAAACTACAACTCAAAAGATATCCATTGTGTGCTTCCTTTTCCTTAATTCCATTTTACTTCAAGATTTTTTGGCAAACAGGTCTTTGCTTTGTGGGATTTTGTGTGTTAGATAAGAAAACAGCAACAAGTTGAGGTAAAAATATCAGACACATTATAATTTTTTATAAAATAATTTTATAGCCATCCCCAGATATAGAAAATTAACTAACCATAATTACCGCTGTTAGGAATATTCTTCAAGTCAAATATACTTTCTGGTTTATTTAAAGATGATCATAATAAAATCTTAACACAATCAACACAAGTCACAGAAGATCTCCATCTGTTTATAGGAGTTGTTGAAAGCTAAGTGCACATTGAAGGAAAATGAACTTTTAGATGTTACACAGCTTAGCATAACCTGATTATCTCTTATATTACTCAGCATATAATATCTATATGAGAATATTAATACATGTCAAAAGCTAAGCTTTTTAAAATTTAAATATACTATACATATGTCATGGATTGAATTGTGTCCCCCCAAAATATGTGCCAACTTGGCTAGGCCATGATTCCCAGTATTGTGTGGTTGTCCTCCACTCAGTGATCTGATGTAATTATCCTCCATTTTGTGATGTGTTGTTAATCCTAACATCTATATGTTAATGAGGCAGGATCAGTGTGGGATGTATCTTGAGTCACAGCCTTACAAGAGGGTGTGACTCAAGTCACACCCTTGCTGAGTCACAACTTTTATCTTACAAGAGATAAATGGAGACAGAAGCGAGCAGAAAGGAGAGGGACCTCACTACTACCAAGAACGAGGAGCTGGGAGTGCAGCACATCCTTTGCACCCAGAGTCCCTGCGCTGAGAACCTTCTAGACCCAGGGGAAGATTGATGCCAAGACACATGGAGATCTCAAAGGAACGCTGGGCCCACAGATGTTGAAAGGAGACAAAGACCTTCCTCCAGAGCCGACACAGAGAAAGCCATCCCTTAGAGCTGGCACCATGAATTTGGACTTCTAGCCTCCTAAACTGTGAGAGAC